AAACCCAAACCTGCCGCGGGATAGCGGTGGATATCGAAACTGGATCACAGTCAGAATGCGGACGAGGCCGTACATACCCGCAGTAAGGTGATTAAATGTGTCGCCGACGGCCTGGAGTCGGAGAGGGGGGGTTGCCACTTTGGCTATAGAAACAAACGTCGACGGACGGGAAGATGTCCGGCGGTAACCTTTGTGATGGGAGCAGCGCTAGGGCAGGGATTCGGAGGAGGTTAGTTCGGGCTACATCAGCGCTGATCGGAAATGTACAAGTGGAGCGGGCTCAGTGATGGTGTTGGTATGTTGGGATCATTTTGTCGAGATCATGGATGTAAGTATTCCTTTTTCTTGTGTGTGTAGTGGCCCTCTTCGATTCTATAAAACTTTGTGATGTACACTTAGATTTACAACGAATGAATACCGTACTTATTATCTGCGGAATTTATAGTACCAGGCAGGATCCCTCGGACAAGTTCAACTATTTAAACCAATCTTCACCATCCATTGTCAATCGTTCACCGCACCGAGACCCGACATATTTGGATTGAAGTATCCGCAGTACGCATTAAATTCAGAGTTGATCTGGCCACGAGTCAATGTCATCGGCGTTCTGTTCATTCCGAAAGGCTGTTTGGCAAGCGCGTAGGTATGAGGAGGTTGAGTTGCGGTACCCCTCCAACGCCGGTCTCCAAGAGGCATATGTTGAATTCCCGCGGATCTTTTCCAAAAAGAGATCGCGTTAACTGCTAAATTCCGAGGAATATCGAGAGGGCAACCGGGTAGCACACGGGATTGGATAAATAAATACGGTGAATTACATGCTGTATTAACTAATTATATATGCCCACGCCGAACCAAGGTTTATAAAAAAGAGTGACCCATTAGGAACCAAGCGATTAACGCGCGGGGCCGTCGAACTGCACGGAAGGGCAGTCTTGGCCGCCGTTAGGGCAGTGAGGAATGAGCGTCTCTTGGGTGCCGCCTGCAGGTGATTGGAGAGTTAAGATATATTTTCAGTACGGAAGAGGATGGGCCTTACGATCGGTAGTAAGAGAGGGGAAGGGTTTGTTGCAGGATAGTTGAAGATCCTTGGCAGTCTTGGTTGCAGGGAAGCTAGATCGCAATTTTATCAGTTTGTGCGGATGGTAAATCGTGAGATCTATATTCACCTGGCAGGCTTCACGGGTGTCTTCACTGTGGCGGGGACGACATCAGAGCAGTCAATCAGGTCCGCGCGGTTGTGTCCGAGGACCGCGAGCTTGGCCATCGCGGCCTTGAAACTCGCCGCCATGAATTCCTGCTCATCTGCCGCGGGGTTAAGTATATGTTCGAATTGTCACGTGACTGGAGATGATAATACGCACTGACGAATCCTTGCCAGTAGCAGGAGGTACGAGGGTCGCGGGCAATCGCAAAGTCAGATTGGAGTCGGAGTTCCCCAGTGTCGTTTCCGCTGCCGCGTGGGAGGGGAGACGAAACTTCGCCGACGCCGGGAACGGTGCTGCCGCTGTCATTCGCAGGGAAGCCCACACCTTTGAGCAGGACCTCAAGGAACACCTGTGTGTCATAGACGAAGGGCGTGGAATCAAAGGGAGCGGCGTCCAAACCCGGCGCGACATGGTCTGCGCGAGCTATCGAATGAGATGACAGAAGGCTGACGACTTCGAAGGGGGTGAAATTTCCCGCGTCTGCGAAACGGGCAAGAATCGAATCCACGCTGTCTTGCGGCTCCTGAATAAACACGTTCAAGCAATGATTATAGACTGGCCATATGAATATATCTTACCGGGATTAAACCATCAATTGCAGCGAAGGTTTTGTTCGGGCGACCGGCCATGAACTCGAGTTGAGGCGCACCCTATTGCGTTTGATGGAGATGAGTAATGCCCAATGCGATCAGGAACGCAGATATGCTTACGGGACAATTGCTGAGTGCTACGGCGCCTGGGGACGGTCTGAGAAAAGGGATTCGTCGGCTTTGGCTGGTAGCACGTACCGGCAAACTGAACAAGGTCGCCAGCACTGACACCCGCCTTGGGCAAAATTTCGAGCAAGTTATTGACGGCATCATCGATTCCATTGTTGGCGTGGAAATTGGGCTCCACCTGAACTCTCATGAGTGACAAGGTCGAACATTTCTGCCAGAAGACAGCACTCACGGTAGGGAAGAGGAGCATGCTTCCATCAGCACCGCCGCCGCTATCAAATCAACGACAGTTCAGTCGGATGTCGTTCAGAAAGAAAAAGGCAACAAACGCTTTAGGGTTCTTCTGACTGATCGCAATGGCGTCGTCTGGACGGACAATCAGGTTTATTAACGGAAGATAAAATACTAAAGACCTACGGAACGTGAGACGGATGGCTTCGTGGGCGTCCTCGCCACATTCGTTCTGGAAGAGAGTCTGTTGGAGATTCTTCGCGAGCTATAGCATCCGATGTTAGAATGTATCAAGAGAAAATCACAGTGGCGGCATACAGGAACGAATGGGCAGCAAGCAGCGTTGCCGACGTGAGTGCCGTCGGGGCAGACAGCGCCCTTGGCGGGCGCAGCGCGTACCGAGGCAGACAGAGCAAAAAGAGCGAGCAGAGCGGTGAAAGCCATGGAAAGAAGGGATGTGCGAAGAAAGCACTGGTGGTCCGTAGAATTTGAGGGGGCCTTTATACTTGCGAGACGAGTCAGGACTCAACCGGGGCAGAAGCCATTCTGTTTCAAAGGAACTGTGCCTCGCCGTCGAGATGGCCACAGTTGACCGACTGCCAGTGATGTTTGGCTGGATCCGGGTCAGCTCCCGGCAAAGTAAACAAATGTATTCTTGGCGCTGACTATTCCAGGGATGCAGTGGTTGAATGAATGTCGGGCTTTGAATAGACTTGGGCCGGAGGGCAACGTAACGCGGCAAAAACATAGGGGTCGCAGTAGAGACGAAACGGTTCCGCATATTGGGATATGATGATGTGCTATTCACAGCCGGCGGGCGGTTATTGCCTAGGTGCGATGCTGTGAGAATAACATGGTGATATGTATCAGCTTTGGTGTCAAAAATGGATGCAGAGTCCAGGTAGATGACTACTTAGGTGCAGCGTCGCACGGGAAGCCCAGAGTTCTGTACAGACCTAACCACAAGGAATCCAATCCGCCGACCTAGGTGGCCAATACGAACATACAGACAAGCATAGCCTCCGTACCCAGAGCGCACAGCGCGGGCTAGAGGGTCCAGAGGTCATGGTGGAAAGCAAAGAGACCGGATCATCAAGAACGGGGATCAATCAGTGATGCGAGGCTATGTGAAACTCCCACGGTCTCGAGAAACGCGGCCGTCAAAGAAGAGATTGATGTCATGGCAGTTCCCCAACGGGAATTCCCAGCTCTTTAAGCAATGCAATTGCACTCACCCAGTTTTACGCTAGCGTTTTATTAAATTTCTAGACCTTCCGTCCCGCTGCTCTAAATACAACCCCGAACATCGGCCTGATTATGATGATCTTCTGCTTCTGTGTCCCCGTGAAGTTCGGTCAAAAGCTGTACCATCTGCGGCGAACCGGCATGGGACGTCGAGGCTCCTCGATTCTCCAATTGGCTGCAATGACATTACCATAGTATGGGTCAATCTTCACGTCTACGTGACAAACGGGACGGTGTGAAGGGGTTGATGTATTGGAAGGACCTGAATAGATACTATAAGCTGTAAAGATGATACCAACAGTTCGGCGTTTCAACCATGAACTTAACAGTTCTAACAATGGGAAAGACTTGACACACGTACGAAGGGTCGCCGGCGTCCCCGAGCCTTCCACGGCCAACGAATACTTATGACAGACACTGAATACTGGCGGTAAGTAAATGAGGATTCACGCAAGGTTATATCAACTTTCAAGAGCTATCTTTGGGCACGAAGGGCCGCGGATCCTTGGACCGAATACTCCAGCTGAATAATTATAACGAACGCTGGAAACTGGCCGGAATTGCATGCAAAAATGGACTTGCAAGGTTAGACGAAAGCTAACAGTATCTTTGTTCCGCGCAACGGCAAGACGACTGAAACTATTGGTTACACACGGACGGAACTAAATGCTGCCGTCCTAGGGAAACGTGTTTCCATTTATCGTCCGGCATCCTGAGCCGTGCCATCTGCCGAGGAGAATTCACTGTAGGGTTATTTTCCCCCGGGAGATTTGGCCTCCTCGCTAACCTGCTTGTAAAAAATCCCTTCCTCCACCAATTCTGCCTCCCTACCACCTGGAACAACGCCTGCGGACTGGCATAGATTCTAAAAGCCCACGCCACAGAACTTCCGGCCGCCAACATTCGGACGCTGCGCAGAAGTGATCCATTTGTCTGGGTCGGTCACCGGCGTCAAGAACTGCGTGGTTGAGGCTGCGTGCTTCTTGCGTGGGTCGATGGGCAGCAGGACATCAATTTCTCCGTGGGCGCGACGGCCTCCATTGGAGGGTTCCATGTGAAGGTGAGGCATTTAAAGCAACTGGGAAAGAATCTGTGGGCTCGAGCAGGTCTCTAGACCCGACGTTGCAGAGCCGGAATTCCATTTTGATGAACACAAGTGGGGGAGGCTCAAGGAGGTTTCGAAGTTGCGCACAAACTCTGACCTTGATGGGGTGGGTGGTTCCCCCCTCCGAAGATTCTCTGGATTACACGTCTCTTTCCTTAGCCGATCAGCGGTGCGTTCAGGTCTCCTTCAACGATAACAGTGAAAATGCCCTTCAACTGTGTTTCAAATCTCGGAGTCTTTTTTTTTATTGTCCTCCTCCGATGAAGGATTCTATCTATTGTAAATTAGCCCCTTGTGCCGATCCACAAGGTTCAAGTGTACCTGTACTCTTATGTGGATGCGCGGTTCCCGTCATTCCTTCCAGTAATTTTGTCTAACACGTACTAATTCCCCTCGAGTCCTTCATTGCTTGAGATTTTGTTGAGATTCGTAGTCGGTCCATTCTGTTAATCAAGGTACACAGCCCAAGATGCGATATGCTTGAGAGACGTCATCGACCCCTTAGCTCAGTGGTAGAGCGTCGCATTCCAGTTCATCTGCTGTGTCGCGAAGGCCGTCCGTTCAATCCGGGCAGGGGTCAGCTTTTTGTCCCTCAGTCCTCCATGCGCGACATCACTTTTCCCCGATGTCACTCGGTCTAGCGAGATTGATCGATTGGAAATTACGTTGGATCTCGAGTGTCACCTTTTGCGTCTTCCTCCGCCTGTGTTCCTTACCTGCGTCCTGCAGCTCCCCATCCATTCCCGCGTTCCATAGAACTCTCAAGTTGAAGGATGTCGGCACTACCCGAGCGATTTTTGATGGAATCAAAGCTTGGTATTATCAATAGGCGCCCGCTTCTCACTTTTCGGCGACCGTTGCCGACGGAGCTCCGTCGTGGAGTCCAGGGCCTTTACAGCTTTTATAAAAGCGCTCGTGGGCAATGAATTCAACGGATTACTTCAAAAAGCGCAAGTGCTGTGGAATCATCAAAGTTTGGCGACCTAAGTATTCAGCGTCTACCCGTCAGTTTTTTGATACATTAAACATGGCAGTGAACGCTGTTAATTTTAGGAGCCTGATTAACCTCTGCAGTCAAACTCTGATGCCTAATTTTTGCGTCCAGGATCCCACCCCCAACGGCGAAGGAAAATCGCTCACCGACCTTGGGAACTCCGAGTCTGCCAGTCCTGTCAACGATCTCTGACGGTCCGCAACCCTGATTGCTTCTTCCCGGTTTCCGTATTTTCACGACTGCGGTCTACATGGATCATCTATACCGGCTGCGAAACCAAATGGACCTCTTCAGCACGAGCTTCAAGGTTATATCATTTCATTTTATAGGGTGCTTCCGAACTGAATAATCGTGGGCAGGACAATGTACTCGCGTCAGCCAGGACTCGACCAGGTCTCACTGGCGGGGTGGTTACCTCCATCATTGCCGTCTTCTTTCTCTCCTTCGTGGCCTGCTGCAGGTGGAACCGACGTCTTCGGCGCCGATCATCGAGGTTGATTTCAGTATGAAACCGGCGATTCCAGGTACGTAGGGCCACCGATTTATGCCTCAGGTCCGAGACGAATTGTACCCGCAGGATATAAATATAATGTACAATAGATGAGGCTCCGAGGTGGACTCTCGAGTGAAAATCCTTCCATATCAATCTATACACAGGGTTCGAAATACATCGCGTCTGCATAATATGGGACGCCTCCGCATCATCATGAGTGTCTATGAGATGACGCTTCAAGTCAACTTATCTATATTCGAAACCATCATGGAAAGTGTTTAGCGGAAGAAGCGATGTGCAGAGATGGGCCTAAGCCCGGGGTCTTTCCAACTCCGGGGACCGACCTAGGCCCTGCCTCGGATGCACATTTGAAATGGAGAGGGTAAAACGATGAGTTCCCGCGTCACCGGCTCACCATCCTGCGGTCCGCATTATCTCCCACTTATTTTCAGTCCTTTCACCATATTACCGACTTCGACAGCGGGGATGTTACGTCTCCTCCGTTATATGATACGTTCAAAGTGATATCCGCATGTAGCGAATTGAGACGAAATCGAGAACCAAAGTTGGAAGGTAATGCGCCTTTTTCGAATCCCGCAATCCCTTGCGCACGCGGCCTTCAAGCTCGATTGAGCTCTTTATAATAATATTTGAGTGTCGAGTGTTTCTCCTGATCCGCAGATACTCATCCCAGATGCAGACTTTCAGTATGCGCCCAGCAATCTGAGTCGCGCCAACCTGAAAAGTCAATTGAACGTGAACGGCCAAACTCCGGATCAGATTCGATTAGGCAATTCAGCACGTGTTGCTTCCCGTCTTTTTTTTCTTACCAGCTCTGAGCTCACCAGACATGCATCCAGCCCTATGCATCAACAGGATCTCCAACCTCCCGCCACGGACACAGGTAAATCATTGCGGCTCACCATCACTCCAAACCTGTCTCATTGGCAATTTGAAGAGACTGGCGCGCAAAGCCATGGACCCGCTGGGGTCCCTACAAGACACCTTGCGTTTGCGCGAGGAAATATCACCGCTGACCAGAGATCAAAGGATGCTACTTCTCCCGGTTTTCTATCACAACCTCGATCCAACATACATCCCTGCTCCCGATCGATTGGATTCGCCCGTACCTCTGAACGACATGCGTGTGTCGAGGGCTTACACGGCGTTATTGCACATATATGCCCTGGAGGATGTTCCACCGGACATCTTCATGGCACTTTGGTCTCGTCTCTGGAATTCTTTCATTTGTACTGCTCCCACATTGATCTGTCACACGCACATTCGCCCGCGCAGAAGGAAATCTGTTTCACCTTTTTTTTCATCAGCTCCTTCTTCGAAGATGAAGCGTGCACTGGTGCCATGTCGCAAAAACCCGGTTTAGCTTGCAAGGGATTGACGCGGCTTAAGACCTTGAAGCGACCTGAAGGAGATTACAAGCCGCTCACGGAGAGGCTTACAATTCACTGTAAGCCGTCTCAATTCCCTTCAAGGTAGAGGGTGGCTTATGAGGGCTTTTCACAGCTCTTCGGACATGTACATGTGTATATTTTATGAATCTATGCCATTGGATCCTTCACTCTCTGAGCAGAGTTCACTGTAATCCCAGAGTACTGTAAACCGCATGGGGCCGAAGAGTTGTCGCGGAGTTGAGAAGATGAGGAGTGTGATAACGGATCAGAGTGTAACGTAATTCCTGTTTGTCTTTGTCTTCGTCTCCCGCTTTCACAACACTCGTCTCTCTTGCTCTCTGTCTTTCACATATACTTGTCTGAATGTCCTTTGACCGTCTTTCAGAATGCTCTCAGTTGCCGGCACTTGTGGGGCTCTGTGGGGCCAACCTCGGCTAGGTGTGGGGCAGAGTGGAGCAGCAACTATATAAGAGACGGGCAGGTGAGTTTTCGCATCTCATCTCTTCCCATGCCCCCACATCAAGTCAACGTCGACCCGGGCACTCCGGGGGGTACCTAGTGGGCTCAGGCAGATATTCTGACCCTGTGGCTGACTCCAAGCAAGCCTCAGACTCTGTCTGCGTCGCCTGCGTCAGGTGGCCTAGAGGTGGACACGATGAGATGGACGCTGGTGGACGAGTGCGTACTGTGCGTGTTTGCATTGATTCTCGCTGACGTTGTATAGGATGACATTGATCCCTAACAATGTAATGATCACTGCGATCTCGTGAGTGCTCTTATTTTCATATCGGGTTTTATCAATTGACTTAGACTGTTGTCTTTTCGCACCAATACAGAGCATGACAACGACGACGACTTGTGTTCCCTTCCACGTCTCGCACAGTGTGGTGGTCCTCGCACCGGTCACGGGCGCCACAGAAGCAGTTCCTCGTTGAGAGAGAGAAACAGTCTGTTAAGCAGCGGCGCTAAATACTCATATCATTCCATACACAATAAATTGAATTATACAATTTTTAAACGTGTTGTTGAGCTGGATTTTGGTGTATAAAAGGCACATGCAAGGCCGTAATGTCTTGAGACTACGTCAATGGCTTGTAGGGGCTTTGACGTCATGGCTGTGGATTACGACGGCTTTTAGGTTTTTTGGTGGATTATAAGGACCCAAACTATCTGCTTCAAGCCGGTGAAAACCTTACGACCGTATACCGGCCTGTAACCAGATACAAGCCGTTGAATTCCGAGCAGGATTTTTGCGACACATTGGTCGCACGCCCGGCGTGCGTTTCATGGTCAGAGGGGCGTGGACCTTCCTCGTTGAAAGTTGTCGCAATCCCGAGGTACTCGATATTGCATTCCCTGATTTGGCTACGTTTTTGCTTGGACCCCTGGTCGGGGAAGACCCGAGAAGTCTTCAAGAATTGATGGATGGTGTCGGCGGGAACCTCGAAGATGTGGCCTCGTTGGTGATGCGCTCCTGGCAAGTTCTTGTGGGTGATAGCGCGTCCACTGCGTTGGTGGACAGTGCCTTCGGTCTTCATGGGATCACGGCTTTCACAGTGCACGTAGACTCGATGCTCACATTGGACGAGGAGTCCGATGACTCTGATCCAGGCCCGTTGACCGCCCTCCTACTGTGCCGAGGCATTGTAGAAACGCTCACGTCAGGGGCACGCAGCGCGACCACGAATTACAACCCGGCTATAATCTCTTCATGCCTCGCTCATCTCGCGCGTCTTTTCTCGACACGTTCAGGTTATGTCTTGCTACCTCAAGCAATTCGAAACGGACTACTCCACACAGTGGTATTCTGCGGTGCACGCGGCATAGAGGCCACACTCATGCCTCATTTTCCCATTCTTCTTGGCACAATCCTGCCTACGTCGCTCGCCTATTATTCTGTCCTCGCTGAGATGGAAAGCGCCCTTCGGGAAGTCGTGGACATTACCTCGACGAAAGAATTCCAAAGTTCAGCAATGTTCAGTCAATGGCAGAACTTGACCGATTTAGCCCACAAACGGCTAGGCGTGCTGAAAGCCTTTAATTCAAGAGTCTGGCCATCCCTCAAAGCCTGTGACAACGTACAAGTAGGTTACATCCCTGAATTATTATGATCCTGCATATCTTAGTTTATCGCCAGTGCGAGGCGATCCGAGCCAAACGCACGTTCAGGCGCTGCGCTGGATGTCTAGGTGTATATTATTGCTCTAAGGCCTGCCAGATCTTCGACTGGCGGCAAGGTCACCGTCACATATGCAAATTGTATCATATGCTTTCCCTTGGTCTGTCTTTATCTCCTTTTCTGACCGTTGGATGATAAAGACATCAACTAGGCTGTAAACCCGCCTGTTTACTTACGATCACTTACTTACATAATCACCTCCCTCTTGTCTCTTACCCTAATCTCGCTATCGATAGTACGAACATTCCGGCAATATACTTCCGTCCTCTTTATTCTTGGTCCCTTCTCCTCCAGTGTTGCTTACCTGAGACGGTGAGCTTCCACTTTTTTTTAAAGAACGACTTCAGTATACGCCCATCGAGACAATCAAAGATCCACGCGATCTTTTGATTTTTCCTTGATACCCCACATCTCTCGGCGTTTCCTATCCAGGAACGCCTCTCTACCGTCCTTCCAGCGGTAGCCCCGTACCTGTTGAGACATCCGTGCTCACAGTATCCTC